TATTCAGAATTTAAGATTGTCCACCTAGAAAATGGATCACCAGATCCTCCTTGTTTTCTGCTTCTTAGCATGTTTCCAGCATCATAGCAATACCGAAGCCACCAGTGTGATAATCTGACAGATATCCGACAAAAAAAAAACCTGGCAAGTGAAAACTATTTGAATAGTAGTGAAACATTGTCTAATATAGTGCCAGAACCTCATAAGGCCCTTAAATAAGACTAAGAGCTGCCTCCTCAAAACAGAGTCAACGCTGACACCATGAAGGGCTTTTGAGACCTTCATTTGATGATGTTCCACGAGTTGAAATTAGAAACAGCTGCACACACCCACTGAGATTCAGAACGTGAAATATGTGAAGTATGAATCTGGGAACATGAAAAATAAAATGGAATATTTGAAGATAAGTATCCTAAGCATTAGTAAGCTTCAAAGGACTAGCTTTGATCATTTTGAATTAGCGAATCATATGGCCTGTCATACCCCAAAATGGCAAATCGAAGAGGAATTGTGTCATACTTATGGTTTAAACAAATCAATATCTATACTGAGGTACAACATCACCCATTACAGAATGTTGTGCACAAGAAAGACCGGTTAATATGATTGTTAATAAAATTTGAGTACCAATCACTAATGCTAATGATGAAGAAATTGAAGGTATTTATCAATGACTGCAGTCCGAAGTGGATAATATGTACAATCAAGATACAGTGATAATTACTATGCTAAATCCACCCCATTGAAGGACTTCTCTTTTTCACTGACCCTCTACTTAACATACTGCCCTATGCCCAGCATTGTTTCTCCTTAAAATGTGTCCGAAGTGCTTGAGCTGAAGTCTCGCCATCCTCACTTTTAAGGGGCATTCTGGCTGTACTTCTAAGACCAATTTGTTTATTCTTCTGCCAGTTGATAGTACTTTCAATATTCTTTGCCAGCAGCATAACCCCAATGCCCCAATTCTTCTTTAGTCTTCCTTATCCACAGTCCCACTTTCATTAGCATAGGAGGCCATTGAAAATGTCTGGCCTGGGTAAAACACAGCTTAGTTCTCAAGGAGGCATCCCTGCACTTCAACGCTTTTAAAGAGGTGTTCTGCAGGTGATTTGCCCAATGCAATGTCTTTTGAATTCTTGAGTGCTGCTTCCATGGGAATTGATTGCAGATCCAAGCAGAATGAAATCCTTGTCAATTTTGACTGTTTCTGCTTACTATGGTGCTGATTCAGTTGTGAGGATTTTGGTTTTCTTTATATTGAATTGCAATCTATATTGAAGGTTTCAGTCTTTCATTTTCATCAGCAAATTCTCCAAGTGGTCCTCGCTTTCAGCAAGCAAGGTTGTATCAGTTACATACCACAGATTATTGACTTTTTCCAATCCCGATGCCCCATTCTTCTTTATATGGCCCAGCACCCCCACCGCTACCCCACAGCATGCAGATTGAGAAGTACAGTGAAAGAATACAACCCAGATAAGCACCTTTCCTGAGTTTAAACCAGGCAGTGTCCTCTTGTTCAGTTCCAATGACTGCCTCTTGGTCTATGTAAGGCTCCACAAGAGCACACAATGAAGTGTTTTGGAATTCCCATTCTTCTTATTGCTATCCATAATTTGTTATAAGCCACACATGCAAATGCCTTAGCATAGTCAAGAAAACACAAGTAAACATCTTTCTGTTATTTTCTGGTTCCAGCCAAAATCCATCTGATGTCATCCGTGATACTGCTAATTCCTCTTCTGAATCCAGCTCAGATTTCTGGCAACTTTTGATGGACTGCTGCAACCATTGTTGCAGAAAAATGTACTTGCATGTGATGTTAATAATGTTGTGAAATGCTTTCTACATTTTGTTGGGCCACCTTTCTTTGGAATGGGCACAAATATGGCTAACTTCCAGTTGATTGGCCAGGTAGCTTTCTTCCAAATTTCTTAACATAGACTTCCAAATTTCTTGAGCTATAGTTATTCATCAGTCTGTTGAAACACTTCCATTGTTATTCTATACTTTCCTAGTATTCTGCTTTTAGCTAACACCAGTGCAGCTTGGACTTCTCCTTCAATACCATTGATCATTTTGTACCTCTTGAAATGGTTTAATGTCAACATTGTGCTTTTTTAAAAATACTTTTATTGGGGCTCTTACATCTCTTATCGCAATCCATACATTCCTCCAGTGTGTCAACCAAGCACTTTTGCACATATGCCGCCATCATTTTCAAAGCATTCTTTCCACTTGAGCCCCTTATATTCACTCCCCTTTTCTTCCCCCTCCCCTCACCCTCCCTCAAGAACCCTTGATAAGTTATAGATTATTTTTCCCATATCTTACATCATCCTCCGTCGCCCCTCACCCACGTTTCCATTATTCGTCCTAGGGGGTTCTAGTTTGATCCTTGTGATCAGTTTCCTCTTTCTCCCCCCACCCTCCCCTTATCCTCCTGGTATCTCTGCTCTCCTTGTTGGCCCTGAGGGGTCTCTCTATCTTGGATTCCCTGTGTTTTGGGCTCTTATCTGTAGCAGTGTGCATGTTCTGGTCTAATCCGATTTGTAGGTAGAATTGAGGTCATGATAGTGGGGTGAAGGAAGCACCAAAGAACTAGAGGAAAGTTGTATTCCATCGGTGCTACACTGCACCTTGACTGGCTCATCTCTTCGGTGACTGATTGCTTTTGTTGCAGTAACTCTGTGCACTCCTTCCATCATCTTTTGATGCTTCCTCTATCATTCAATACTTTCCCCATAAAATCATTCTATATTGCAACTTGAGGTTTAATTTTCGCCCACTTCTTTTAGCTTGAGATACACTGAGCATGTTCTTCCTTTTTGATTTTCCAACTCCAGATCTCTATGCATTTTCCTACTCCACGTTTACTTCATCATTTCTTCCATGTGCTTTAGCAACACCACAATCAAGAGCAAGTCTGAGTCTCTTCTGACATCCACTTTGGTCTCTTTTTCCTTTTTGTTGAACTTTTACTTTCTTAATGTATGAGGTCCTTGCTGTCACCTCCGAGCTCGTCAGGTCCTCTGTCATTAGTGTTCAGTGCAACAAAGCTGTTCTTGAAATGTTCTCTAAATTCAGGTAGGATATACTCAAGACTGTCTTTTGACTCTTTTGGAGTTATCATTTTCTTCAGCATCAACCTGAACTTCCATAAGAGCAGTTGATAGTCTGTCGCTGACCTTGTTTGGGTTGATGCTATTGAGCTTCACCATCTCTTTCCTCAGACAGTGTCAATTTCATTCCTGTGTATTTTACCTGGTGAATTCGATGAGTAACATTGGTGCTTATGTGCGTGAAAAGCTGTGTTTGCAATCACAAGGCTGTTGGACTTGCAGAATTCTATCACGCTGTTTCCAGTTTGGTTTCTAGTGCCAACGCCATATTTTCCCATTACTGTTCCTTTCCCTTTGTTCCCAACTTTCTCATTCCGATCACCAATAATTTTGATTAGATGCTTGACTAATTTCAGACTAAAGAGGTTAGTAGCATTCTTTAATTTCCTCCTCAGTATCTTCAATAGTTAGTGCTTAGATTTGAATAGTAGTTGTATGTATTGATCTTCCTTTTATATATACATAAATGTGGTGTCAATTTGAGACGATTAGGAGTGAAGGGGTTGAGTCTGGCTTGTCAATCAAGATATAAACAATGAGGCCTCTGTGTGGGCTTGGCCTTCTCCTGAGAATTCCTAAATTTCTTCCTTGGAGATGGGAGACCCTCTCTGCTCTACTGGAGATGCTCTACTGACAAGACACTCTCTGCAAGACATCCTTGAGGAGAAGCCACATGGATGGTTACCCTGATGCAGCCAGAACCATGGACCTGGAGAAGCCACCTACAGACCCCTGCCAGTGCTGAGATGCTTACAATGCCACTGGATCCAAAGACTTTCTACCCACTGGCCTGTGATCATGCTGCATTCGGCATCATTACTTGTGCCCCATCAGTCTGAAGAGGACTTTATGGGTTGATGTTGGACATATAGCCCAATATCGGACTTATAGACTTGGACTGGACTGAGTTGGGATGCTTTCTCATTGTACAATTACCTTGAATATAAAATTATCTCTTATACATGTGTTTCTATGGATTTGTCTCTAGTCTACCTGGACTAACACAATATTTTATTAAACTCAACATTGTACTTCAAGATAGATTGAAATGTTCTTTTTAATGATGACTGTGAGGTAATTCCTCTGAATTTGTCATTACTGGAATAGTAAACCATGTGATTGTGTGACTCAAAGTGACCATATCAGTAATCTACCTCAACTCAGTAATTTCTAGAATATTTATTTTTATGAATTCCATTTCATTTTTGACAACTTCTAATTACCCTCACTTCATACTTGCACATTCCACATTATGATTGTTAACAGACATTTACAACTCTACGTTCCCATGTTAGTCATGTCTCATCAGCAAATGGAGCTCCCCATTGCTTTACTCAACCCATGTCATTGATGTCCACTCTACTTTAAGGAAGCAGCTCTTTTCCAGTTGTACTTGAGTGCCTTCCAATCTGAGTGGCTCATTTTTGGCACTATACTTGACTGTTATTCATAAGGTTTCAGTGTCTAATCCCTCAGAAGTGGTCAACTTATATCTTCTTCATAAACTGTTCTTAGTCTGGAATCTTTCTGAAGCCTATTCAGCACTCACAACCTTCCTGGTCTTTCGAATACCGGTGGCACAGCTTCTAGCATTGCAAAAACATGCAAGCCAGTACAACACAACAAACTGACAGCTGAGTAGTGGCATAGAGGTTAAGATTCACAATATATATTTTGGGGGACAAATTTCAATCCATAGCAGAAACAGTCCACCTGAATTTCTCCTGGATTGGGGAACAATGATTCGGGACAGGACAGGTCAGAGTGGGAGGGTGTCCCTGCTGGCAGGGGTGGGCTAGTCTCACCACATCTTCACATTATGCTAATAGAACACAGACACAGTAAGACACCAGTTGTAGAAAGAAAATTAAGAGGATCTTTAAATTTTTTTAAAACTTTATTATGAGTTGGGGATGCTTGATAGAACAAATTATCTATTTTACATTCAACAATGTGTGCACATCTTGTTGCAACTCCCTCAATGTATCCTTACCCACTCCACTTCCTCCCTCAATGTATCCTTATGCGTTCTACTTCCTTGTGTCCATTCTTCCTTCTTTCCTAAACTTTTGCACTTTGACTTGGGGAATGATACTCTTTTGATAGTATATATATATATATACTATATAAAAAAATATAAACACACACACACACACACACACGCACACATACACACACACACATATGTGTGTGTAAAATGACAGGGGTGGGTCAGTTCTAGATCTGAAGGGTGATTAAGAGCCATAGTCTTGGGGATACCACTACTTGCCTGGTCTTCTTTATGAAAACTTTGAGGTTCTTGAAGGCACAAGGACAGATAAACGAATTGTGTACCACACAGTGTCTCACAAGGAGTGTCTTACACTACAGAAGAAAAGAACCACGAACAAATTCAAGTCCAGAGCTACAGTTCTTGACACTTTGAATAGCAGCCCCCCGTAATCTTAAAATGTCCAAATCCAAAGAAAATCCCCATCACCCAGTCTTGTGTCCTCTTCAGATCTCATCTTTAGGGCCTGTGAGAGACACCTCGGAACTCTTGGCACTGTCACTGACTGGAGTGGAACACAGATAGGAAATGGTTACAGCCCACAGGAGATGAAACCAGGAGAATAGGGATTATGAGGTAAGGAGGTGGTCCCATCTATGCTATCCCAAGGAACTCAAGGTTAGCCTCCCTCCCTCCTCACTTACTTGCAGCTTGGGCATAGCTCCCTTGTTTTGCCCCTGAGGGAAGAAAGCATTCTGTGTGAGATTGGGGAGGAGACAGGACCACAAACTCCTAAAAGAGCTAGTTAATCCTGGACTCCAGGGAAGTTTCCAGACCATGACTACAAATCCAGAGCAGAAGGAAACATAAGGAAATATGTGCCGACCACTGACCAGGCTCCCTGCTGGAAGGCTGTCTGCAATGGGATCCTTCTGTGATCTGAGGCTATTGGGAATCAGGTATACATCATCAGAACCATTATCTTGAAGGACCTGTCCTTTATTTTCACATGCCCTTTATGAAGAGCAATTGTTAGCACACAGGGTTCCAGAATGGGTCAGCACATGTGTGGATTGTCCCTTCCATATCCAAGCCACTGTCATCGAGTCAATGCAGACTCATTGCTACCCTACAGGACAGGGCAGAACTGCACCTGTGAGCTTCTGAAACTGGAACTGTTTAAAAACTAGAAAGCCCTCTCTCTCTCTCCTGGAGTGGCTGATGGTTTAGAATGGAGGATCATGAGGAAGACATAGCTCAATGTGTAACCACTATGCAACCAGCATGAGATGGTAAATCTCTTAGCGAGACTTGAATTCCTCCTCGCCCTGGCACCTGCAGTGGGAAGAATCTCAGATCCCACCCCCATCTATACCTGAATTGTTCCTCTTCCAGATCACAACCACAAACACAACTGTTGTAAGGACCACTGCTCCAAGGAGGACCAGGCTAGTAGCCCCCAAGAGGGGCTCAGTAAGCTCAGTAGACTGTCCTGTAAAGAGAAAAGAGGTCTCTAGAAAAGATTCTGTTTTCCCTGGGATGAGGCTTCACCCTCATCCCCCTTCTTACCCCATCTCAGGATGTGGGGCTCAGGCAGCCCCTCATGCTGCACACGGCATGTGTATCTCTGCTCTTCTCCAATGGGAACCACTATGGCTGCCCACTTCTGGAAGGTTCCATCCCCAGAAGGCCTGGTCTCCACAAGCTCCACATCCTGGATCTGGTCCTCCTGGTCCCGCTGCCAGGTAAGGGTGATTCCTGAAGGGTAGAAGCCCCGGGCCCAGCACCTCAGTGTGGCCTCTTGTTCAGAGATGGGGTGGCGAGTCACGTGTGTCTTTGGGGCATCTGAAAGAATGAGTGAGAACATTCAACATTCCATTACCAAACACGGGCAGCTGGAGCACGTTTTGTGTGACTATCCTGAGAATGGACAGGGCAAATGGGGCTGAGGATGGAATGTAAAACTTAAGCACATGCTTGCACAATAGATCTGGGACACTCTCATATTCCTTAGAGAGCTCTAGAATCAAGATGAGTCAAGTCAGAATAAGACGCTCCAGGTATCTGATGGGGAGAACAGAGAGTTCTAGTTCTGACCTGGATGGAAGGCAAGAAACTCAGAAAAGCTGGAATCAGACTTCCAAACACTTTAGGTATTGCGCAGAGAACAAGGCTTAGTGGAAAAAGCCCCTGGTAGTTCCCAAGGTTGATTCCAGGATCAAATGGATCTGCTGATCAGTCAAGGATTGTCTATCTTTCTCTCCCTAGCTGAGCCCTAGCAGCGCAGTGATGAAAGTGCTTGGCTGCTAATTGACAGGTCAGCAGTTTGAACACTGCAGCCATTTAGTGGGACAGAGGTCTATCAGTGAGCTTCTGTAAAGATTTATGGCCTTTGAAATCTTATGGAGGGACTTATGATAAGTTAGTGAACTGGGTAGACACATTAGCTAGGTCTTCTCCCACCATGATGGAAGACCATAGGAAATTGATATGGATGATCATCCTGGAACTCTGAGCTTTAGATAGAATGATAGAAAAGTGGACTGAGTACCTACTCTGAGAAGCTGAATAAAAGCAGCAAATGGGGCGATAAATGGAACTGGTGACATACAGAACAGCAACCTGATATTTGGCTCTACTTGTCCAGTGCCACGCAAGTGACCACATCAGCAGCTTGAAACCAGAATACAGTACTCTGTTCCTGCCCTGTTCCCCATATCCTCCTGATGACTAGAAGCATGGTTAGTTCCCACCCTCACTCATCTTGCCCAGTAGCTGGTGACATCCCCAAACTCTCTTCTACATCACCCTGATGCCAGAGGCATGTGTTTGTCAAAGTCCTTGAGTAAACACCACCCCCACACGAAGTATGCATACTCTGTCTCCTTGGACCAACAGAAACATAAAGATTTAGTAAACACTAAACATTAGTAACAAGGATATGATAAGACAATCCACTTACAAAATGACTTCAGTGCAGAAAAATACATAGAAAAAATAAGTAGCACCACAAAGGAACACAAAGCAAATGACAATAATACATCTACATCTGTTGATAACTACAACGAATGAAAAATGGAATAAATGTACCACTCAAGGGGCAGAGAGAAGGAAATTGATAATAAAGCAGGATCTATTTAGATGCTGTCTACAAGACACACAATGACAAAAAATAGACTTAAAAAGCAAGGCATATAAAAATATGTCAACATCAACCTAATGGCAATAAAAAAAGAACTGGAAAGCAATATTGATTTCTGTTAAAATAGACTTAAGGCAAAAACCAGCAAAAAAGAGAAGAGAGCACAGTATGTAGTTACTGAAGGCTAACTCAACCGAAAGGATATAGCCATAATAAATATCCAAGCACCCAAAGAAAGAGCTACAAAATACAAAAATCAAACTTTAACAGGAATTGAAAAGACAAGTAGATAACAATAGTAGAAGACCTTAATACAGCATTTTTGATGAAGGACATAACAGCTAGAAAGGAACTTGACAAAGATACGAAGAATTAAACAACACAATCAACAAACTCGACCTCATAGACATATATAGAACATTCTATTAAACAATACAGTATATATTATTTTCCAGTACAAATGAAATATTCTTCAGACTGGATTGTATGTATATGTTAGGCCATAAAGTAAACACTGAAATAACACAAAGTATCTTCTCAGATCAGAATAATATTATGTTAGAAATCCAGTAGAGTCTGAACAAGAAAAAAATTAATTACATGAAATCTGAAAAACACCTTGCTTAAAAATTATTGGGTAGTAGAAGAAATAAAAAATGTAATAAAAAATTCCTAAACTCAAATTAGAATGAAAATACATCATACCCAAACCATTGGGACACAGAAAAAACAACATTTATATGAAGTAATTATAAATCTGATATCATACCCAGGCAAAACCAATTTGTAGGGCAATGTAAAGCAATAAATACACATATTAAAAATAAATGAGAACAAAATTCAACAATTAACCCAAAATCACCCACAAGAAAAATTGTGCAGCAAAATATGTGTAGAATAACTAGGAAAAAATAAATCATAAATATTAGAAAGGAAATAAATGAAACAAAAACATATACAAAAAAAGCATCAACAAAGCTAGAAGTTGGTTCTTTGAAAGGATTAATAAAATCGATAAAACTGGCAAAGGAAAAGAAGATGATGCAAATAACATGAATAAGTTATGAAATGAGTCACGTCACAATAAAACTAATTGAAACAAAAAAGGATAATATCAGAATACTATGAAGAACGGTACTTCAACAAATTTGAAGATCTAGAATAAATGAATACATTTCTAAATATATATTACCTACATCAATGAACAAATGTTGAGGAAGAAAATTGGAGCATATCCGTAACAACAAATGAAATTCAACAGGTTATTAAAAACTCTCAATAACAAAAAAACAAACAAAAAATAGTTCCTTCCCAGATGGCTTCACTGACATTCACTGCTGAATTCTGCCAAACACTGAGAGAAGAGCTACACTACTTAGCTGGAATCCTAAAATATATATATACATAAAAGGAAAGAGCACTCCTGAAACAACTTTTTTTAAATCATTTTACTAGGGGCTCTTACAACTCTTATCACAACCCATACACTCATCAATTGTGTAAAGCGCATTTGTACATTCATTGCCCTCATCATTCTCAAAACATTTCCTCTCCACTTAAACCCCTCGCATTAGGTCCTCATTTTTCCCCTCCCTCCCCGCTCCCCCCTCCCTCATGAGCCCTTGATAGTTTATAAATTGTTATTTTGTCATATCTTGCCCTGTCCGACACAATTTTATGAAGTATGTATAAATCTGATACCATGCCCAGGCAAAACCAAACCTATGATTTGATTCTGATTCGTAGCAACTTTCTAGGACACAGTTGAACTGCCCTTGGGGGTTTCCATGGCTGTGCATCTTTACAGGAGCAGAAAGCTTCATCTTCTCCCTTGGAGCAGCTGGTGGTTTCAAACTGCTGACCTTATGTTTAGCACCCAACATGTAACCTGTGGGATTATAAAGAGACTTTTCCCCAGCTTTGTCTCCCCCAGCGACATGCCAAGCATTGGGGGCATTTTGCTGGCATGTGGGGGGAGGTCAGATACTTGCAGGCATCCTCCCTGAGGGCAGTCACCAGACTGCAGAGGGTCCCGCTCCCTGCTGTTAAGGACAATGGACTACTTCTCCCTGAGGCTGGCTACCATTAGCTTGGTTCCTGTAGGTGGGGTTTACACCCTACTGATAATGGTTCTTATGGAGATCCAGAGAACAGATCAAACCCTGTCTCCTGACATCCAAAGTTGAGCTGCCACCCTGACTCTAGGATATGCCCATCTTGTCACATGTATACCCCCAATCCCTCCTTTTCCTATTACGTGTTTATTCCTAGATTGTCCCCCTCTCATTGCTGTATAACCCATAGTGCAACCCATTTCTCTGACGTATGACTTTGCCTCTAATTAGTGGGCTTGCACTGCCCCCAAATATATAAAGTCCTGGGTTAGCAATAAACAGATCTCTCTCTCCCTCTCCCACTCTCTCTCTCTCTCTCTGCTCCTCCCTTGACCTCTAGTTGGGTCCCTCTCCTCCCCTGTTCCCTTTCCCCTTGCCCTCCTACCCTTCCCTCTCTCTCCACCTGGACCACCAAGCGGGGCTGAGGTGAGCAATACTACCATGAAATGTTGTCTGACTTCATTATTTCAATCTCTCTCTTCTATCTCTCATGCTCTCCATGACTTTAATATGATATTTATATATCTGAACCGTACAATTGTGCTTACTGGACCCATGATTAGTGGTGGGGGGCTGGCACCCCCTACTCCGACCACAGTAACCCACCAGGGTTCCTTAAGTGAGTCAAGGCAAAGACACCTCTTAAAAGAAAAATTATACACCAGTAACCCTCATGAGCAATGATGCTAAGATTCTCAATGAAATCCCAACCAATAGATGCCAACACCATATAAAAAAAGCAATACATCTTGACCAGATACACAAAGGTGCTTCAGCATCAGAAAAATAACCACAAGTTAAACACAGGAAAGTGATCACATGACTAGATTAATTTTTACAGAAAAGGTATTTAACAAGTCCAACACCCATTCCTGAAAAAAACAAAATAGGAATAGGAAGGGATTTTTCAGCATAATTAAGGGTATATATACAAAGCCATGGTCAACATGATTCTAATGGAGAGCATGAAAGCATTCCCCTCGTGAAGAGAAAAGAGACAAGGATACCCCTTATTTCCCTTTCTAACCAATGTTTTATTAGAAGTCCTAAGCACAGATATAGACAAGAGAGGGAAATAACAAGCATCCATATTGGCAGAGAAGAAGTAAAACTGTACTTGTGTGTGGTATGATGCTCTGCTAGAAAAACCCCAAATCTCAGCAAGAATATTATGGGAACTAATGGAAGGATTCATTCAGTAAAGGGGCAGGGTACAACTTCAACACATACTAATAAAACTTCTAAAGTGAAATCATGAAAATGATGTCATTTTTAATAGTTACCAGAAAAATGAAATACTTAGGGAAAAAAAATCTAACCATAGAAACAAAAGATATATACAAAGAAACTCACAATACAGTGCTATACTAAACCTATGTAACTACCATGCGTATGAATAGACTCAAAATGTCAGCATTGCCCAATGTGATCTACAGATATAATGCAACAGTGATCCAGATTCCAGTGTCAGTCGTTAAAGGAATGCAAGCTTAATCACCAACTTCATATGGGGACAGGAGAGACCCTGGACAACCAACACACTATTCATGCAGGAGGACCAATACTTCCTGGTCTCAAAGTCCACCACCCAACCACAGTCATCAAAGCAGCCTGGTACTTGTCAATGACAGTCACCTAGACCAATGGAGCAGATTTGAGGAACCAGGAGTAATGCCACTGACCTCCAGGCAGCCTACTTTTGAAAAAGGGCCAGAGTGCATTCAACGTGGATGAGAGATAGTCTCTGTAATAAATGATGCTAGGAAAAGTGGACACAAATATGCAGAAAAATAATATCGGACCTTTATCATATCTCACACCATGTTAAACATACAAATATATACATACAAATAACTGTAGTTGAACAAAAGGTCTAAATGTAAAACCTAAAACTATAACGAGCATCATTGAAGAAATAGAGAGAATTTAGGGAGTTTTGATAGAGGGTATAAATGCACCATCAAACATAACTAAAACACACCAACAGCAGAAGCCAAAGAAGCTGCTTGGAACCTTCTAAAAAGTAGATGCTTACGTGAATCAGAAATTTCACTAAAAGAGTCTGAAGAGATTCAACGGATAAGGAATACATTTTGACAATAACGTGACTAAAGATTAATCTTTAAAACTTATAGAAAACTTCAACACAGCAACAAGAAAAAGACAAATAATCCAATTCAAACATAGGCACAGCACATGAACAGAAAACAGGCATTGAAAATGTCATTCAGGCTGCCAACAAACATGAAAAAAGTGCTGTCAGCATAAGCTGCTGTTAGACATGCAAATCAAAACAAAGGTTAGCTACCATCTCACCCAGCTTTAGCAAAGAAGTTTGTGAGAGAGAAGCAAACAACCACAGTGATTGCACACGGCTCAGTTTGAAGGTGTTGTGTGTGGCGGTGGGGGTGGGGGCTCTAAGATAGATGTGTTGATTGAACAAATCCCCTTGATGTGATTGAACCCTTTAATTGTATGATATGTGAATTATGTGCCAATAAAACTGTTGGGGGTAAAACGTTCCATTGGGCGGAGCTTTCATAGTATGCATTTTTCCTGCTGGGTGAGCATCATTCGACTTGCTCTGAGTTAGTGCCCTCAGAGGCATCACCTGAGAAGGTTCTCTCTGTCCACGGTGGATTTTTTTTGTAAGGGTAGTTTTGCTCAAACCTCGTTTTTTGTGATGGCCAATTTAAGAGAAGTGCATGCAGCTGTTAAATTTGTTTCCTGCTCAGGAAAAATGCCGCAGAAACTGTTGTGATGTTGAACACAGTTTACAAGGACAGCACTATGGGGAAGTCTCAAGTGTATGAGTGGTTTTCTTGTTTCGAAAAAGGTGAAATGTTGATTGAAGACAAACCTCTTTCTAGACGCCTGTCCACTTTGTGAATGGACAAAAATGCACAGAAAGGTCGACTCATAATACATTTGGAGTTCCTTCCACCAAGTCAAACTGATAATCAAGCTTTTTATATAGAGGTTCGAAAAAGATAGTGTAACAGTGTGTGATTGAAAAAAAGGCCTGATTTGTGGCAGATGGAGCATTGGTTTGGACACTATGACAATGTACCCACTCATGCAGCCATCTCAGTGGATCAGTTTTGGGCAAAAAACAACCTGTCTTGCCCCATGCATGTTACTCACCTGACCTCACTCCGCACAACTTCTTTTTGTTTCCACGCATAAAGTGGAACATGAAAGGACAGAGATTTGACAACATAGAAGAGGTGAAGAAAAAATGAGGGAGGTGCTGACATCCATTCAAACAGATGAGTTTAAAATGTTTCCAAGAATGGAATTGCAGATTTGCCAAATGTGTTAAGTGTAATTGAGAGTACTTTGAAGGTTATAAGGTTTTGTAAAAAAGTTTAAATAAATAGCTTTTGGGAAAAAATTCTGTTTTATTTTTTGGGGGGTACCCCCTGGTAGATCTTCTACCCAAGTCTTTGTAACTCCCACTAAATGACTGGATGGGGCTATGCAAATAGGACATGTATAACAATATAGAGAGGACAGGTCAGTTTTCCTAACCACCCCCCAACCTGGCCATCAGGATAAGCAGTCTTTGAAGCAGAAACAGAAAAAGAAATCCTGAGGGCCCTGGGAGAAGAGCACATTCCAGATCTTTGTCTGAAGTGGCAGAGGCCTCAGACACCAGGAGCATTAGAAACTGTGGCATGGACATTCAGAGGAGCAGTGCAGAGACTAAGGGGTACCTTTTCTTTATCTGTCTGGACACTATGGAACTGTAGAACAGAGCCACAGGTGGGCTGCCTTCCTGGTCCATGGAGGCAAAGGCTAAGGGATCAAGTCTCTGAGAGGCTGAGAACTGGAGAGAGAGACTTCACTGCTGGCTGAGGAGACCAATAACTGTATCATTACTTCTTGCTGATCCTGACTTGTGGTAACTTTTTGACTTCCTTAATCAAGTCCCTTAACTGTGAGTATTGTCTGTGATTCCTGTGTGGGCATTACAATAAATTATGAAATCCACCATAGAGGTAGAGTGGTATGGGAAGAATGGATGGTGTAAGGATAAGTATCAAAGAATGGAGCATGCAGGCATGTCCGACTCTGGCCTAGTGTCAATGGGGATGCCAGGGGAGGTCAGATATGTCCACCTCCATTGTCATTGATGGCACAAAGACCTTGAGGGAATGAGTCACTAGCCCTGAGGCTAAACTCTCAGAATATATCAAGGTCAATTGTCATAAAAATCTATAGTTGTTTTTTTTTTTACGTCCTATTGTGGTGATCAGCCACCTAAGGAGCAACTATTAGTTTTGCTAAGCAAAGAAGAGGGAAGATAATCATAGACACATGGAAACCATCAGTTCATTTGGATTAAGAGGCCAAGTGAACATCATTCTTCATGACTTGGAGACCAGAAGAACTAGATGGTGCCCAGCTGCCACCACCAATTGTTCTGGAAGGGATCATCTTAGAAGGTCCTGCATAGTGTGGGAGTAAAAATGTGGAACTAAAAGCAAAAGTCATAAAAAAGCCAGGCTTCCTTGTCAGATCGAGACTGATTGAAACTGGACACTATGACCCTTAGCCTCCTTTCAGGTCTGGTAGTGAACTCACTCTGATAGCTCGATTTTCAGGTAAGCAAGATAGGTTTCTAGGAGAAGCAATAACATTAGGGAGGTTGGCACTACTTAGAATAATCAACCGTTTGAGGTTCAAAGGGCAATATTTATCCAAGGAAACAGTTCAGAAGGTTTAAGAAAGGAAGAGGAATGAAACTTGAAAAGAGAGAAGTAAGTCACATTGTGGATAAGTGATGCTACAATGTGGGGATTGCAGCCAATAACATGACACAACATGTGTACGAATTGTTGAACAGAAAATGGGTTTTCCCTTCACTTCAGAAGAAGGGAATAAAGCAAGCAAGCAAGCAAGCTAGCGAGCTTATAGAATAAGTCCACTCTGTGCTCTGGGGTCGCAGAGTAGAATGAAAAGGAGTAGATTTGGTGGTGCCAGAGAGGCTGGAATCCTAAACGAAGCACTCCTCTGGACAAGTCACTCTACCATATGACCCTGAAATCTGGGCTCCGTCCCCATGTTCCACACCCATGTAGAGGAGTCTCCTTGTGTCCATTCCATTTTCCTCCTCCGTTGGAGAGAGAAAAAACCATGGTAGGGCAATGGGTTCATGATTCAAACCAGCAGCTGCTTTGGGTTGAAAGATGAAACTGCTCCTATAGAGATTTACACACCAGAAACTCTAAAGAACCGTTCAACTTTGCCCCACCAAGAATCAGTTGGTATGAGTTGGAAATAATAGCTGTGGATTTTTTTTGGAGAGGAAAGCAGGGCACACTAAAAGAAATTTAGTGGGGGTCCCTGGCCCTTCTTACCTGTGCGCTGCAGCATCTCTTTCCCACTTTCCAAGTATCTACGCAGCCACTCCATGAACCTGTCTTCCACGTAGTAGGCCCGGTAGCATTCCGCCAAACCGTTCTCTTCCCACTTTCTCTTGGTGGTCTCAGCAGACTCATCAGCAGCAGTCCAGGAGCGCATGTCCTCATTCAGGGCGATGTAATCCTCACCATCGTAGGCTCGCTGATTGTATCCACGGAGGAGGCGTCCATCAGACCCCACGTCACAGCCATACATACCCTGGTAGGTGTGAGACACTGACCCCGCCCCATCATGGTGAGCCCCGCCCACAGACGGCCCCGCCCCTCTTGAGCAGCTCCACTACACAGCTGGCCCCGCCCCGTCCTGTAGCCCAGCACTGCAGCCAGCCCCGCCCCCGCGTTCAGCCACGCCTTCGAGACCCAGACTCCGGCGGTGATTGGTCAGAGCCTGTTTAGTTCCACTCTTTAAAGGAAACCCAAGCCATTCCCGGGTCTGACTCGCTCACAGTAGTCGCTCTGGTTGTAGTACTCCCGCAGGCTCCGCAGGTACTGGCGGTAAGTCTGTTCCCGGATCTTAGCAAAGCGCGTCTGCTCGTCCCAGAACTCCTTCTCCATGAGCTCCATCCACGGCGCCCGCGCCTCCATTCTCGCGTTTGGGACGTCGCTGTCGAAGCGCACGAACTGCGTGTCGTCCACGTAGCCGACGACCATGAGGTGGGGCTGCGCGCGCCCAGGCCTGGACACGGCGGTGATGAAATACCGCAGGGAGTGGGAGCCTGGGGGAGGGGAGCGGCTGAGACCCCGCGCCCCTCTCGGTGCAGTGCCGGAGCCCGGGCTCAAGGGGCGGGGAGACGAGGGGTTCACGGCTCCCCGGGGGGTCCCGCGCTCCCCCCCCCCCCAAAGAAGTCGTTCCCACTCCCACCGCCACACTCACCCGCCCGTGTCCGGGTCACGACCAGAAGCCCCAACTCCAAGAGCAACAGAAGGCACGTCCGGAGCGCCATGACCGTCCAATGGGGTCCTAGGAAGCATCTGAGTCCTGCCCACCAAATGGGGCTGTCTAACGCGGGCCCGCTGTGACAGTGATTGGCTTTCAGGAAATTAGAGCCCAATAGGAGTGAGAGGCGGGATGACGTCACGTGTATCCAGGACAAAGGAGCAGACACAAGTTATGGGAGGGGGAAGTGAAACTGGGGAGACTGGGGAATTCCCAGCGCTAGACCTCACCAACCCAGATGGATCTTGTCCAAGATCTTCTGAGGAGTGCTTCCAATCTCAGGACTTCAGTCAAGAACTGAACCTTAAGTCATAAGGTCCTTAAAACTTCTATTTCAAAAGGAAGTTCCAAAGGACAAAGTAAACTATTACAATGAAATGCACCAAAACAGAATTTAGAAAACCACAAGGAGACAACATTTTTCATGCCAACAGAATGGAGAAAAACTTCAAGACTTGAACTTAAGTATTGACGGATTTTCTGGGCCTAAATCTTGAGTGATGTGGGAAGCATCAAGATAAAATGGAAGGAATGCACAGTCACTGTACCTAAAAAAATTGGTGGACGTTCAGCTATTTCAGGAGATAGCACATGACCAAGAATGGATGATATTGAACAAGTCCAAGTGGCACTGAAGACATTGGAAGCACTCCATTGTCTATGCCAAGAAATTAGGGAGAAAGCTACCCAGTGGAAGAGATCCATATTTGTACCTGTGACTGTCAAGGTTTTGTGTGAACTTGACTGAGCCTGGTTGCCAGTGGTTGGGACTTGCACCAACACCTACCAGATTGCTTGTGGATCCTGAGAGTCTCCAGAGGCCCACTGTCAGACAAAGATTCATTCACTTCTGCAGCCAACAAGCCTGGCCGGCTGACTTTGGAGCTGTCCCCTTCTTTAGGGGCCAGCCTGTGGCCTTTCTGTTGATCTTGAGTTCATCAGCCCTCAAAGCTCTGCAAGTTACAGGAAGCCTCCAGCTTAGTGTAAGATCTACTGCTATGGAACCACCCTGGAGGTGAATTTCCCCACGTTTCCCACTGTGTGCTCCAGTTTCTTGACATAAATTTCTCTGTGTATATACATCTCTAAGTGTTACAGTTTTGCTTCTCTAGAGAACCCAGCTTAAGACAGTGCCCACTCCATGCATCTGTATAAGATGCAGAAACTATTGAACTGTATCATTAATATGATACGCAGATAAAAACTGAACGCAGTTTAAAACCGTGCAGCAGTACATTGACTTGGGCCTAGCTGCCAGAAACTAAAGCTGGATTCTGAATAGGATGTGAAACATGGGATATCGTTACTGATGTTAGATGGAGATTGTCTGGAATCAGAGAATGCCAGAAAGATGTTTCGTCTGTTTTATTGATTATGCAAATTAGAGCTAACATTGCAAAGAGTGGGAATTCCATAACAGTTACTTTTTCTGAAGCAGAATCTGTTCATAGACCTAGAAGCAGTTCTTTGGGCAGAATAAGGGAATGCTATATGATTTAAAATAAAGAGAATTGTACTTCAGGGATGCCTACTTTCACTGTACTTTATTCAATCTATGCTCAACAAATAATACAAAAGCTGGACTACATGAAGAATCTGGCACTAAGATTGACGGAAGGCTCTAGCAGATTGTGGTGTGCAGTGACACAACCTGGTTTGCTGAGCATGAAGAGGTCTGGAAGCCATTACACCTTAATAACAAAATCCCCACAACTGGACCAATAAGCAGCATCTTGATAAATGGAGAAAAGATCGAAATTGTCAATGATTGCATTTTACTTGGGTCCAAAATTAACCATCATGAAAGCTGCAGTCAAAAAATCAATGACTTGTTGTGTTAGACAAATATGCTGCCAAAACCTCTTTAAAGTGTTGAAAAGGCAAAATGTTACTTTTAGGACTAAAGTGGCTTGACACAGCCATGGTAGTTTCAATCTCTCTCTCTTATTTATTTTTTATAAATAAAAAAATATATATTCATATATACATACCGAATAATGAAAGAGTAAGGAAGAACATAGGAGAGTTGATACATTTAAATTATAGTTGGTGAAGGATACTGAAATTACTGTCAGAAGAATGAATACATCATTGTAGAAGTATACCCAGAATGTTTCTTAGAAGCAAAATGACAAGACTTTGTCCAACATACCTTGATCTGTTATGAGCGGGGACAAATTCCTGGAAAAGGACATCGTGGTTTCAAATGAGAGGGTCAGTGAAAGAGCAGAAGACCCTCAATGAGTGGAGTGGCACACAGTAGCTGCAACAATAGGCTCAAAAATAGCAGTGTTTATGAGGATGTTCTAATTTTTAATATTTCTTACTTTTTCATTAAGGTTTTACTCTGCTTTAATTTGTTGTTGTTGTTGTTCTTTTTTTTAAAAATGTTTTTCTGTATATGAGCTCCAGGAAGATGGGTAAATCTACAGAGACCATAATGATTTCTTGTGGGTATGTAGGGGAGGTTGGAGGGAAATGGAGAGCTAATAACAATGAATAGGAGAACGAAGAAAATGTTCTAAAATTGATTGTCGCAATTATTGTACAACTCTTCTTGATATGATTAAACTATCAAATTGTATGATTTGTGAATTATGTGCCAATAAAACAGTTTTTTTAAAAGAACCTTAATAAAGGAAATATTTGACAACTTCAATCTTTTTTCTGTTTATCATCATATTGTTTATTGGTCCAGTGGTATTTTTGGTTTCTTTACAAAGTGAGCTGGTTATCATTCATTGTAATGGCATATTATTATCCAGATTTGGCATGATATGAGAAACACACAATTCATCATTGGTGGACACAGACTTAAAACTCTTAGAAAGTATGAAATGATTAAGTGCTTATCTTAATTTTTCTTTATTTCTGACTTGAGTGGGAACATAGTTTTTCCATCCTTAGAATTCAAGTCAATGATTTATAGGGGGTATTGGGCTATTTGAGAGACCTGTGATATACACGGACTTGACTTAACAACTTTTTCTCCTATTATTTGTTTGTTTGTTTATAAACAAGTCGACCGTTTGAACCCACCCGGAAGGTACCCCAGAAGAAAACAAAACCCTATGGAACAGTTCTACTCTGTAACACATGAGGTCCTTAGGAATCAGGATCAACTCAAAGGCAACTAACAAGAACAACAACAATCATGGAATACTTTAAGGGTTCCCAGGCAGTAGAACAGTTAATATGTGTGGCTAACCAGGAGATTAGAGAGTCCAGATTTGAGTCTACCCAGAGGAAATTGGAGGTACTTTTGAAAAATCAGCCCCTGAAAACCCTATGAAGCAGTTCCCTTCTGACATGGAATCAGAGTAGGAATTGACTTGATGGAAATTGGTAATGGTAATGAGAAAATTAGATTTATCAAAACTAGATTTATCAATCTGTATTTTAAATGAACTTTTATGTTCAGAGCATCAATTTTCCTTAAAAAGGGCAGGCAAATTGAGATAAACTGAAAATTAAGCCAGTAATTTATTCAATGATAAATCTAGCTCAGTATAGCCGGCTAATTAAAATATATATAAAGAAAGAGCCCAGTCACCAGTCCCTGCCCACAAGAGTTTGCCCACCCACCTTCTCCACTCCCCGCCCCCACCCGCCCTGTGGAGCAGCCGGCAGATTGTGCTCCCCAATAAAGCCTGTTTCAAAAAACAACTCATGTTCAAGTTAGAAGTGAAAGTAAAATGTATTTTTCTGCATGAATCAGCAATACTTGGAATGCATAAAAAATAGGAGGCTCCCTATTTGGTATGTAAAGTCAGCATTTGTTGTTTTCTGTGTTTTGAACTATGCTGATAATTTTGAGGTCAGATGATTTCTCATCACGACTTTGTTTTGTATCTGTTGAACTGCTAGTGAAGGAGCCTGGCAGAACTAGCCTAACTGTACATTCAGTGATTCATACCCACCGGCTGTTCTGAGGCAAAACGATGAGGCCATTTGCTTAGGCAAGGATTAACAATAGTCTTGGAAACTTTAATGGTACAGTTCTAATTTGTCCTAAAGTGTTTCTATGAGTTGGAATAGACGATACAGGAGTGGGGTATTTTGTTTCATTTTAGAAATCACTAATGATTATGAGTATTTCTTCATGTGTTTGTTGGTTCTCTAAATAGCAACCTTTTATTTTTTTAAAAATTATATGTCATTTTATTGGGAGCTCTTACAGTTCTTATCACAATCCATCCATTGTGTCAAGCACCTTTGTACATATGTTCTTGCCATCGTCATTTTCAAAACATTTTCTTTCTACTTGAGTCCTTGATATCAACTCATTTTCTCCCTCCCTCACAAAACTTTGATAACTTGTAAATTATTATTTTTTTCATGTCTTACACCGACCCCTATCTCCCTTCACTTACTTTTCTGTTGTCCATCTCCCTGAGAGGGGGGTTATATGTGGATCATTGTGATTGGTTTCCCCTTTCTCCCCCCCACCTTCCCATTCCACTCTTGGTATTGCTACTCTCATTATTGGTCCTGAGGGGTTTATCTGTCCTGGATTCCCTGTGTTTCCAGTTCTTATCTGGACCCGTGTACATGCTCTGGTCTAGCTTGATTTGTAAGGTAGACTTGGGGTCATGATGGGGGGGGGCGGGGAAGGAAGCATTAAAGAACGAGAGGAAAGTTGTGTGTTTTGTTGATGCTATACTGCACCCTGACTGGCTCATCTCTTCCTTGTGACCCTTCTGTTACGGGATGTCCAATTGTCTACAGATGGGTTTGTTTGTGTTTCAATCATTTTATTGGGGTCTCGTA